GTCGTTAATATAGGCATTCTATAGAAACTCAATAAAGAACAGAGGCAATCAACCGGCAGAGACAAAACCGACAATGCGATGCACGAAGACAATTTTCCGCGGCCAATGATGAATTCAAAATGATGCAGTACCGAAGAAGCGACTTGTCTAATGTATTAGGTCCTAACACGTTTAAGGTGATGGCACGCTGCCCGCACGATCACTAAGGACAGCGCGCCGCTCGCACGGTCACTCAAGATGGCGCGCTGCCCGCCATAAGCAAGGCACGCCGATTGCATGGCAGATTTCGATGCATCGCCGCTCGTCGACAACGATGCCACGCCCACAAATTTAGGCGCGCCGCTGGTACATAGGCCATGAAGGTGCGCGCATTCGGAAAAAGTGTTTGAGCTAGCCCATAGGGAATGTTTGTGAAGTAAATCTAGAAATTTATTGAAAGCAAGATGTCGCCGTTGGTGCTTAGTCTTTGTTTGAGTACTGAAACGCCCCCTTTGACTGCTTATTCTCGGTTTTCTATAAACCGTTTCCTTAAATCGCGTCGTCAATGCGTCCTTCAGGTAACACCTCTTTTACCTCTTCTATCCTCTTGCATTTCCTCTTTTGTTACCCCGAAATCACGTGGAAATGCATGTGTCGATTTCTTATGGTACAAGTTTGGTGCAGCTTTTTTTTGCGGCAAAACTTAAGCCTGTGAAGACGAAGAAAGTCGATTCTCGCTCCCTCCCTCTCCTCCCACCCCTGCCCCAGAATTCTGGACCACTACTTGTGCTACATGTGCTTGTTATTTGATGATCCCTGTCCGTTGACGATATTCTTTCTCTTTATAGAGTTCCTATGAGAAAGAAGAGCAGTCGCGATAATTTTTGTAGATCTGCCTCTATTCTATGTCACACTCAACCAAACTTTTCATTTGCCATCCTCTTGCATTTGTGTCTATCCTGTCGCTGCGTTAAGGTTACCAGCTCCGACTCGTGTTCAGTTAATGACGTCTTGTCTCCTTGCAACATTCTGAGCTCACACTGCTTATGGGTGAATAGCAGTTGGTGATGCTAATCTTTATTCAACGCAAGCGGCAGTCCGTTTCTTGTTATACGATTCCATGGAAGTCGACGAAGTGTAAACGAATATTCAAACTACGTATAGGCTGAGTTTCAGGGATTCCACCAAATCGCTAGAACTCAGCGAGCTGATATTTTGCCAGATTATTACGATTTACCATGCCCAGCTCTCAATGCATGAGAGCTCAGCGTTTGTGTATTGTCACAGACACATCAAGTCTGCCCCAGCAAAGCGCTTGTACGCCCATTGATGAAGAGTCGTTGCGTGTCAAAGTGCAGCGATTTAAATAGCGTGAGGTATGCCGTATGCCTTGAGCAATACACCGCGAACAAAGCTCTGGCATGGAAAAAAAGAGTATGTAATTAACACAGGCAGTATGGCAAAACCCACACTCCCAACGTTGCGTTGTGAACCATCTTCATTGATTTGGCAAGACCTGCTCCTTGGTTTACTATTACGGCCACGTTTCTGTTATATTCCGTGTACACAATCAAGTCATATTTGATGCATGCTACCTCTGGCAAGCATAGTGATTATGTTTGCACGATATTCCCTAACTATTACCTTCTTGTTTGTTGAATCCGTTTTGCTGCCGAAAGCATCTATGGTCTCGCTTTAAAAGCTTCCCACAAGATTGGGGGGGGGGGGGGGGGAAGGGGTAGGGGTCCTGGCTCTAGTAGTAATGTATTAGTAGGCCCCGTAACTAAACGACGACAGGAGCTTGCAGCGCGAAAGGGGGTCTACGAACTCCACAGACGCAGAGTCGTTGCGAGACCCTGCGCTCATAACTGTGTGCCTGTGTGCGCTATGGTTGCTCTGACCTTGCAGTTCGAAATCGCTGTGCGGGCGGCGTTCGGGCCTACCGTAAGATCCAGGCCACTTTCAAAGCAAATTCCAGGTTGGGTAGACTTTCTTTTTGCTCCGAACTTCAGTCATCGCTTAGGTAAGAGGTCTACTTTAACATCGCCACAAAAACCCCGCACCCATCTTTTTGCCGGGACGCTGCCTTTAAGACTTAGGTTTGATTTTTTTGCCAATCAGTGGTTGTGATTATCCTACATCCTAAGTCCCATCATGCGGTAGACGAACGCGGTGAAAAATTACTGAGATTGAATAGTGTGAGAGGTGGTTAAGAGTGATAAAAGGGGCGTTATTGGTTCAAAGTCGCAAAAAAACTGTGAAGTTCGGTGCATAGATAATCGAATGTACGCTTTGGATCTGACTCTCAATATCATCTCCCGGGTGACACCAGAAGTTTTGCTGACTAGCGAGTAATACCCAGGTGAAGGCAGGGGATGATTCTCACGAGATGCCTTGACAAGGATGGCCTGCTTTAGCTAGGTTGACCTATAAAAGCCATTCTCTATCCACTGAAACGCCTACATTGTGGAGCATAATCCAAAAAACCACGCTCTCTTTTTGATGAATTGAGCACTTTGAAGTTATTTTGAGAAAAATGCACAAATTGTTGCAACATAGCACTCTTCCAACATTCTTGAATTCACAGATGATTACCGCACTTACTCAAAAGTTGTCACAATACATCAGTTACCAAAGGAAACTAAAACTATATATTCTGGAGGAATTATCGATCACTTCTACCAGGAGCGTCAACGAGCATCACACGAGTCTTGAGCCCCTTTTCAGTTTTCGCTGTTGTCATCAGTAGATTTTCCGGCATCACTTGGAAATGTTGTGACGTTTGTATTAATGTATCGGAGAGTTCTTTCAAGATTATCGGAAGCAAAGCAACAGGGCCCATGCTGACACATGGGGATAGGATTATTGTTCTGAGCAAACGTTTTTGAGTCGAGGAGGAGGAGATGCTCCGGTAAAAAACTGCAGAGATAAGTGTTAGAATCGACATGTTAGTGGAGAGGGTACGAGTGCAGTGGTAGACCCCGCTTTTGCGAATATTGCTCAATTTGCATCCCTATATTAGAAGTCGCCGTTTCGAACATCCTCACCAGTTTGCTAATGTAAGCTGAGCCAGAATTATCCAAAATGATTCTATACAGTGAGGTCACATGCGAAAACAATGGTTTGTTCACAACGGACACGCAATGGCATGCCACCAAAGTTGCTATGCATACGAGTAGCGCCGAACCATGGTTGGGGAATCAATTCAAAGAAACTTACAGTCCGTCTCAATCTATCAAGCCAAACTGTTGGCGTTAATTTTGCCTGCCCAGCGCTAGTGGTTTGCGCTTCAGAGAGAGCGAAAAAATTGAAGAGGGAGAAGACAAGCAAGTCGTAGACGCGACGCAAAACTCGCAACAAGGACTCCTGCCATGCTGTTTTGGACTAATTAGGACTGGGACAGAATGTACAGTCGAGTAGATTTAGCGGTAAATATAGTGTGCTTGCACAGAAGGTGAAATGCGGTGAAATTTGCGCGTGAACAAGTAGCCACGCCACTACTGCGGGTATTTTGCACGCGCAATTGGCCGGCGTCACAGTCGAAGCTATTTCTTCACGCGCCAATTTTACCGCATTACCTTCTGTGCAAGCACACTATATTTACCGCTGAATCTACTCGACTGTATGTAAATGAATGCCGTAGTGAGCATTATCGAATTAGCAGGAACTGTTCATGCTTTGTGCCAGCTGAGCCAGCGATCTTTTGCGCACATAATTTTCATCTTTTCATGCATAAAATTATTTCGACTTTCGATTCATGCATCTGGTCTACAATGTGTCCAGTTTTGCATCTTGATATTTTCGCCATTATAAAACAGAGCGGAGCCATGTAGAAGCACAAAATTTGGCGCGGAAATTACTTGGACAATAGCAGGTACAACGTAGCGCATTTTCACCTTTTCTCGTCAACGCAAACCTTTAAGTTGGCAATTGTCAATGCCGTGGCAAGCAGTAGTCATCATCAGATTTGTCCTTTTCAGAAAATGACTTCTATCGGAAAATTTGCAGTATGATAGAGCAAGCTTTAACTATCGCAACATCGAAGAAAATTTCTCGCAAAATTCAGGATAAAAAGTTAAATTTTGACTGCAGGCACGTGTACGCCGACTGGAACTTCGGATACAATCGCAGGAAAAACAAAAACCAACTTCAATGTGGTTCTAAATCGACACCCATCCGAGATGAACTAAGCCTTATCTGAAAGATATATGGAGAGAAAATTATTTGACTAAGGGTCCCAAATATTTCATTCATGAAGGGATAGATTTTTGAATGCAATTACTGCAAAATTAGAAATGCAAAACCTTCTCTATATTCTAGACACTGTATTGTAACACAATGTTTATGCCTCCAAGCACGAAATAAATTGTAAACCTCAAGTTACGATTACTGCGCTCTCAGAAAGTAATTGTCGAAAACTTCTTCTTTCTTTACAAAAATTCATATATATATATATCATACTTTTTATCCTACGCAATAGATGAAATAAAAATAAGTTGAGGTTATTTTATGCTCGCAAATACATATTTTGTACAGGATGACTGCTGCATTCCGCCGTATTGTAATCAGAACTACTTGTTGTAAGTCACAGTAATGCAAAGTTAGGCTATGAGGCGGACAGCCTCTACATACTGAAAGCTGCATATCAGATCCAAAAGGATCTAGATCCCTTACGCCTAGCTTTTTTGAAGCCCTCAATAAATCTATTGCAAAGCAGCGCCCAGAAGGAATCGGAGCTCGACTGCACTTCCAAGGACTTTCACTAATTCGTAAAGACTTCGTGAGCACCAAAGGAGTCTTCGTTCCAGATTTACCAATTTCAGCTTGTTCCCTCGTATCTTGGAATGAAAAGGCTTCCGGATAGAGAACAGAAACAGATAGAGATTGAATGTCTTAAACAGATAGAGACTGAATGTCAAGAGCACAGGCGCTTTAAGAATAAACTTGAAATCTACTAATGCGGCATCCTTTTACTTGGAAATACAAACTATTGTATCAGAAATATAGTACAGAGCATTTAGATATGCGGAGATATACATGGTCAATTTCCCGACCTCCTTCGGATATTCAACAGATGTGGCTATCCGCCTGACTGTACGTACTTATTTCTAGGTGATTATGTTGACAGGTAGGAAGTTGAAGGATGCTAGTCACACAATTCAACCAGTCCAATCAAAATTAAGGGGACGACAACAACTGGAAGTAATAACAATATTAATGAGCTATAAAATTCTTTATCCGGAATGCTTTTTTATTCTTCGTGGAAATCACGAATGTAAAATCATTAACAAGGTTGCTGGTGTTGAGTTTTCCTACAACTTGGTCATCCATGTATCGGACCTAAAAAAATTTTCTTATAGGTTTATGGCTTTTATGATGAGTGTAAGCGTCGATATAGCGTAAGACTATACAACATATTCCAGGTAGGAAACAAATAAACGAAGCTTTTTTATTTTACGTATCGTTTAGGACTTCTTCGATGCCCTCCCCCTATGCTCATTAGTAGCAGGCCGTATCATGGGAATGCACGGTGGTCTTTCTCCATGCCTCACATCATGGTCCCAGATGGAGGATATAAGCCGTCCTCTTGATCCTGAAGACATCCCAATGGCAATGGTAGGTTTCTTAGAGCAACTGGAAAATATGTGTGACACAATTTGTCAGCATACTATTCAGGACCTCCTCTGGTCAGATCCTGACCCACAAACTCACGGATGGGCAAGAAATTCTCGGGGAGTGTCATACGTTTTCGGAGTCAACGTAGTAAAAAAATTTTGTAGAGACATGGACCTCGACCTGATCGTTAGGTAATCAAAATTATATTACATTAGTCAATTAGGCAGATATGTTGCAGAGCTCATCAGGTGGTTCAAGACGGTTACGAGTTTTTCGCTGATCGACGACTTGTCACAATTTTTTCTGCACCAAAGTAATTTGATTTATCACTTTCTTATCTCCATTTTCAAGTTGGTGTTTACAGAACAAATATGTAATTATTAGGCCGATTCATTTTTAATGCAAGTTCTTTCGCTAACGGCTGAAAATAGTATAAAAATGGAAAAAACATATTACTCAATATAGTGAAGCAAATGCACTTTTAATTTACAAAAGATCTAAAAAAATTCAAACGCACAAAATAACCCTCCGTCTTGAACGCTTCCTCTATGCTCACGCATATATGTCCACAACATTCTTATGCATGGCTGCTGTAATCTTACATAAATGAAACTATAGAGCGAATTTGAAATTTCGAACTGTTTTTGAGATGTTCCCATATAGATATTCCATACTGCAAACATTCAAGAGTATAACTGCAAATTTTTGGCTAAAAGCGCAATTTGGAGAAATATCAACTTTAGCATAAAAGAACCTGGAGAAGGCAACATTTTTGCTTACTTTGAACTCTCGATTACTAGACGTGAACGAATTTCAGTAGCTGCACATAGTTAATATAAGAAGTATATCTGTGAGCAAGTTGGGGTCCTCAGAGATTTCTTAAATGCCTATTTTCGGGCAATTAAATTTTTGTAAACTTTGGCTTTAAAATGCCAGCGAGTCAAGCTTTCCGCAAATATTTGAACGCTTAGTAGAGGTTGCTACAATCTATCTGTTTGTGTTTCAAACATTTTTCAACTACGAGTGCATTGATACCACCCGTTAGCCGTCCGTAACCTCCTTCAGCCATCGGTAGTCACCGGTAGCCGCTTTTGTTCCCACGAGAGCGCAAATCTTCACATTTCAAAATGCTCCTGCAGTCTTCTGCGCCTGCATCCTCCAGGCTTTCCTCATGCTCGCTTAAATGCAGTTTGACTCTCTACACCATCTTTGTATTTCATCGCCGTTTTGGTTGCTGTGGTAGCTTGGATGTGCTACTGGTGATCATATTCTCCAATGTGATCGCTCTTCCTGGAAAGATTTTTGATATTCCATTTACTCTCCGAATTTGAATACTTTCGGAAGTCTCCATTTCTTCATCTTTGACTGTTTTACGGCAATGGAACTTTTTCGTGAAATATGCGTTGGCTGAACCATATGATGTGCGCATCACATTTCATTCACTTCATTTTCTCGCTATTTTTACAATAAATTCTTAGCATATCTGAGCCCACTTCAACCAGATAATGGAAACAATCAACACGAAGAGTATGTATTAGGTCGTTCCGAAAGTAATGTCGCTTTTTCAAATAAACGCCACATTTCGTGGAACCAAGATTCAAGAGCTCTTGGGATCATCGAAGCATCATTTTGTCCTCTTTCCACCGGTCGTAATTTCATTGCATAATGTTCAATGAGCTCTCAGAAAATTACCAAAACCTGCGACTCATGCTTTTTGTAATGACCAGTTTCGGCTATTTTTCTATATTTTTGTATTGATTTCCCGAAGATGTGCAAGTGAAAAATAAATAGATCAAGTCCTATAGGACATAAAACAATTTTTTCTTTTCCTTAGTCTGCTTCTTAGTGTTTGTAGAATCAATCTTTCGGTGTTACCAAGTTCCATATTTGGTCAATTCAATTCCTCACAGAACAACAACCGGCAAGCAACTCGGGGTCATTCGACGCAGCTTTTGCTCCTCTTTCCGCCAGTTGATTTTGTTTCCGATTTATCAAGTTTCCCGGGATAAATTCATCATAATTCAGGTTTTCCAGAGCGCCCCAGGCTGTGCACGAAATTTTCGAAAGTTGCTGATCTGTAACGATGAATGCTCACTTGGTTTGTAAAATTAGTGCCAAATTATAATCCTCTTTGTAAGTTTCAAAATCCGAAAGTTTATTGGTGTTTGGTGCAGAGACGAGCCTGCTAAATTTCGGTGGTTCCATCAAAAAATCTATACAAAAATTATGACGAGCTCTGGAGTAAAAAAAGTTGTGCTATTTCCTGTAGGGTTTGCTCTATCCACCATTACTTGGACTCCTTTCGAGAGTTCACATAAAAATTTAGAAAATTGTGAAACTTGGCCTTCTCAAAAAGCATGGGTTGCAGACTTTGATAATTTTTCGAGAGGTCATAGAATTTTTTGCAGTGATTGCAGTTTATACAACCATTAGAAAGAGAATGAAATGCTGCATCAAATGCTACCAGACTCTTTTACATATCCTTGTCTCATGAGATGTGGCGTGCTTTTGGAAAAAGCGACATTGCTTTCCTAACGACCTAATATAAGAGTAAGCACATGAGCGAAAAACAAAACAGGGATGAGCAGGGACGGATGGAGCGTAGAGAAAATGTGATGTAGCGTTCTTGTGAGATCAAAATTCGCTACCGGCCAAGAACGGCGGCCGTGGGCGATGTAGGCATCCTATCCTGTAACGAGCGCAAGGAACATACACTATTTATGAATCAATCTGATATTATGAATCCAGATATTGTGGAGAATTCGACAACAGCGCTGCAGTGATGATTGTTAATAAGAATTTGGTAAGTGTTCAATATCCCAGGAAGCAGATATGCTACATCATGTTGCAATTATGCTCAGTAGTCAATAATTTAGGAATGCTCATTTGAAGTCTTAAAACCTATGGATAATCCTCCGAAAGTGAGAGCACGACTCAATTCTAAGATTGTAAGGAAGAAAAAGTCAAAGAAGTCTCTTAGAGAGAAGTCGAAGATACGTGCTCAATAACACGCAATAAAGAAATGAACCGTATCAATCGTTAAAGGGTTTTCATTGTAAATTGACAATTTAAATAAAAAATTATTGTCAGCATTACATACAGCATAGATTAGCCCAAGATTAATTAGTCATCCAAGCTCTCGCTTTTGTAGCTCTCGGTTCTGACGCAATATACGTCTTCCTGAGTCCTGGTGCGGCTTTTGATAAAACAGATTCTCATGCATTCGAGCATTTCAAACTCTGAAGAGGACGATTTAGCCGAAACGTCAAATGAATAAAGCAATTACTAATCCCGGTGTAAAGCTCAAGCAGTTCTCAAAGCAAATTCCACAATGACGAGATGGACGGTCCTATATGATACTAGTTGGCTTTCCCGGTCGAGCCCGGGTCTTGCTCCGTTCACCTGCAACCCACCCTCCCCCCCCCCCCTTATATGTTATTGGTGACCTACCCAGGGACATCCGCTTTGAAACCGCATCCTCGTGATTCTGAGGTGAAAATGAGCTTCACCGCCCTTCTTTACATGACGATGGGAGAATGCTTGATCAAACATGGTAAACCAACCTTTAATTCCTTAGAAAAACGTAAACAAATCAATAAATCGATAGAAGGACCCAACGAATAGCCGCGAAAAGTAGCCTATCATCTGCGCAGGGGTCGAAAACATATGTGTGCAAAGTTTCAACTGAATCGGTTGAGCGGCGTGCGATCCTATAAAGCACATACCCTCCAAACTGACAATTTTTGAGTTTTATATATGTATAGATTTGAATGCTTCGAAAGGGAGTTAATGTGGGTATGGCACAACCCCTGAAAAGGTGTGGCAGTCACAGCTTTTCTGGAGTTGTGCCACACCCCATTAACTTACCTCCAAAGAGAATTTTAGCGAGCAAATTTCATATAGTTGTATAGCCAAAATCTCGTAATCTTTGCAAAAATGATTAAAGCTGAATTCGCCTCCTTTAGTTTGCGCGATAATTGCTAGAAGCACAAGCACTTTAAACTAAAAATCAAAAAGTATAGAGAGAGTCATGGAATTTGAACCAAATTTGGCAGAGTATGGAGTGAGGCGTGTGTTAACAAGCCATTTGTTCGGGACCCACCATTTGGCTCTATTGATTTATTAGTTTTTTTGCTTAGAAAATTCTGTATGTTTGCCCAAAAGGATAGAAGGAGTTCATGGAATCCGAACCAAGTTTCGCAGACGTAATGTATGAGGTGAGGCGTGTGTTAATAAGCCGTTTGTGCGGGACCCACCGTTTGACTCTTTCGATTTTTTGTTTTGCAGTTTTTGCTTGGAAAATTTTCAAACTTCGGCCAAAAAGGATAGAAAAGATAGAAGGAGTTGCGAAATTTAAACCAATCAACCAATACTATATAATATTAGCCACTTTTTGTGTGTCCGCCCAAAAAGGCTAGGAGGATCTCCACCGTCTGACTCCATCGATTTATTGATTTTTTGCGGTCTTTGCATAGGAATTATTTCATGTTCGACCAAAAATTGAAAGGAGTTATGGAATTTAAACTAAATCTAGCAGACATAAATGGGGTGGAACGTCTGTTAATAAGCCTTTTTGTTTGGGACAGATGGGTTGTCCCTATTAGTTTGATGATTCCTTCGATTTTTGCTCCGCAAATTTTTCGCAGCCCTAAATAATAGAACAAGTATTAACGCAGGTCAAAAATGCCTGTGTTCTAAACGACGAAGGTCAGCATAGGCTCCTTTCGTGGCAATCTGCTGCGCGTTTCTATTGTAATGAGATTCGGCATCGAAGAAAAAGTCTTATCAGCAGTTCAATCCAATTTCACCAGATAGCTAGACAAGAGGGGTATAGCTCATTTCATTTACTCGTTTGAATGATGCGACGCGCGTGTTTATAAGTTATTTTGTTCGCAATACGCCGATCGTTTCTATCGATTTATTGATTTTTTGCAGTTTTTTCTCAAAAATTTTGCCGGCCCAAAATGTTTCAAAAAATTGGCGTCTGAACCAAAGTTCGCGTACAGGAGCTTCGGGGCGGACGGGTGTCACTAGCTTTTGTCAAAAATAATCTATTGTCGCTTTTGATGCATTGACTTCCTGCGTTTTTGCTTAACAGTTTTGTTATGACTGGCCTAAAATGCTAAAATAATTATGAGATTTGAACCAAACTTCGCATAGGTATTCTTAACGGATTTTTGTTGATAAGTTATTTCCACTAATGTAGGCTAAATCGAATTACTAATTTTTTCGTGCTTGCTTTGGGACAAAAATTCGCGCGAAGGAAAGGAAAGGTAGGCTTGTTACGACTGGCCTACGTATTAATCACTTCCTCAGCGGGATTCATCGACTAGCTAAGTTCATCGGCATAATCACAAATGTCACTTACGCACAAGGTCAATAATAACCACCATATCAATCCCATAACTGTCAAAACCCTTACACCCCCTCCCCTCCCCCCCCCCCCCCATTATCTTTAATATGACGCATTCTCAGGTACCGTACCTCCTTTGAATGCTTCCACCTTCCAATACCGTGACGCTCTTTCAGCCCTTACAGCATGGGACACATGCAGACCTTCTATGTTATTGACTGCGCATTGTCTGTTGCTTAGAATATTAACTCATATTCAGCTGATAGGCCAAAATTGTGTCCTTAATCATCCTCGATCTATTAGGTCGTTCCGTAAGTTCGTAGCGTTTTTATAAGCCAACAAAATCATCAATTTACAGTAAAAATTAATCAAAATTATTTTCCTCGCTGTAGCGCATGACCTTTTGGCCCATTCTTGTTAGCCTCTCAATCTCAATTTTTCAAACGGCAACGCGCCGGGCCCAAGAAAGTCATCTAACCAGCGCTCAAACTACCTACTGAAATCGAGACGTGCATTCATGAAGCTTACTAGAGAGCGGAGCAAATGATAATCTGACAGAGCGAGATTTGGAGAGTACGTTAGGTGCTAAAGTGTTTAATCAAATCGTGCAGGACAGTTTTGACGACGTTAGCCGTATGAAGCCATGTCTAATCATGCAGAAGAACTTACCGGATCTGTCTATTAGGCTTTTTTTGCGGTACGATCGGGTTTAGACGGTGCAGTTGGTTCGCTTAAGGTATCGTTGACCATCGCCTACTTGTACAGCAAATTTCAGTGCAAGACGTCCTGCCTTCCCCCGAAAATTCTTATTCGGAGACATCCTGCTTAGCCCCTGATTTTCTGTAAGAATTAAATTTTTTCGTCTCATATTGATGTACGTGTGCCATGTTTTGCAATCGACTGAAAAATCTGCGCGAAAGCGCTTCTTTTCATTAAAAAATGCGTAAATACCGAAACTGCTCCTTTTTGCCTATGAAAATTTCCATCTTTGGAAGCTCCGAGATCCGAATGAATCAGCTTTTTACCGAAATCAGTAGACGTATTTTGAAGAGCACAATCAGCCCTTCCAAATGATATACGCATCTTGCCGCAAGTCAACCGCTCCTCAAAGGTATGAGGAGAAAAGCTACTAACTTATCGAACGACTTATAGGTTAGACAGAAGTGTTTGTTCCAAACTTAGAAATTCACTAGCAAATCCTTACATTTGCACAATACAGACTGGAACGAAAGATATACGAGGCAAGAAAGCTGCCGAATCCCAGACGAACCTGCCAAGTAGCGGCAGAGAGCGGTTATTACTAATAGATTGGCTAAAAAATAAGTTCATTTTCGCATACAAATCATCATAAAAAATTTTATTGTTGTTTTCAATCTATGATTCTTTGTGGGAAAAGCTTTGTGGGAAAAGCTTCGAAGCTTTCTCTATCACATATCAAATAATCAGGATTTTCTATATTCAGTTAAGACATTTATGCCTCAACATGGTAAGCTTTCCAAAAGCTTAATTCATTGACTTCCTAAGCTTCGTTTTCATGCTGTAATGTATGTAAGTAACAGTAGTTTGGTGTTTGGATGAGGAGTTTTCCCTATTTATTGAACAACAAAAAGAACTGTCATTCGCCACTTTGAAAATGTTTCACTAAGAAAACCATTTCCTCATATTTGCGCATTATGAGAAAACTGCGGTTTCTCACTTCTTGGCGAATTCTTTTCTTTGAAGAATAAGTTTTACTCAAACAGAATATATGCTACAATACCCAGTGAAGTTCTCTTCTCAGAGATACCAAACATTGGACAAAAACTTGTTTACAGCATTTGTAAGAGCTGAAAAAGCGACCGAACTTACTTATTAGCCAACCTAATATAATATCTAGGTATCTTATATATCTGTATATCCTGTCCCATAATCAATGTACGTTTTCTAGAATTCAACTCTGAATCAAAGCAATCTTCTCCAAAACCATTCTATTGCGCGCAATAAAGACTAGAGCTAACAGCAAATCTTTGGCTACAAAACATATTTCTCTGTAACCCATAACAGCCATTACGAGTAATATTTCCCAGCCCGAAAACTGCCAGCTTTTTTTACTGGAAAGTTTTACTTTGAAAAAGCACAATGCGCATAGTGTTTGATCGTTGATGACTCTCCTGCTCTGATGCTCCGAGAATACTGGGTACCTCTGTAAGGCTGACTTCAACTCAAATTCACAGCATGGAGCTTTCTTCATTACTGCAGGATTAAGGTAGATATTTTGAGAAGGCTTTTAGACTATTGAGAGCCATATCGTATCCGAGAAAGAAAGCCAAACAATTAGAAAACTTTTATACCAGTCTAATTAGAAATCTGACTTTGAAGATAAGGTTCGTACTTCACTTAATTGCTTTTTCCATAAGTTACCTTAGGTATAGCGTAACAACTGTTTTTCCAACGTTTCTCGGAACTTTGAACGCACCAGTGAATTGCTTCAAATCTAGAGAAGTCGTGTAGTGAATTTAGCATGCATGAAAACCCTGCTACACAATTTCTTAAATCTTTCGAACAAGATTGTAGACGGCTTGTTACACAACGGTTCTGTACACTGAAAGTTCCTACTGTAGTCCTGCAATAAAGAGGAGCTATCACTGATCGCTTCAAACTACAAATGTGAGTTGA